AGGCGCCGGCGGGGCGATGCGGGCCGCGCTCACCTGGCGCGACAAGGCCGAGCAGTGGTGAGCGCGGCCGCGGCGCTGCGGGCGGGCCGGCCTCCGGCCTCCGGCCTCCGGGCGCACGCGGCCCCGACCCGTAACGCGGCCCGGTTTGGTCTGTTCTGTTTCCGCAGTATCTACGACCTTGCGTTCAAGCCGGACGGCACGCAGTTGATCATAGCGGCCGGGAATAAGCTGCTGGTAGGACTCCCGGTCCGCCGCGCTCGCGCTGTGGGGGCGGAYCCCTCGGCGTTGGTTCCCACGTGTGAACCCACAAAACCCTCTCGTCGCCGTGTGCTTCACGTGCTGTGGCTGCGCAGGCTTTCGACGCTCTCTGACGTTTCTTGCCAGTTTTGTTCTCTGCTTTATCTCCAGGCRTAAAGGCCTTTACGCTCTTTGCCTTATCGTGCCCCTCTTACCCCACCGAGCGCGCCTGAACCCGCTACCCCGCAGACCAGGTTCCCACAGAGACACAGACAAATCCCGCCTTGATACAAGTTCTGTGGAAATCCCGTGAAAGGAGGCGAGAAGCCCCGAGCAGGGGCCCCGCGGGGGCGATGGAGGCCGCGGTGCCCTGTGGAGCCAATGGAGGCCGCGCTGCCCCGCGGGGGGTGATGGAGGCCGCGCTTCCCTGTGGGGGCTGATGGAGGCTGTGCTGCCCCGTGAGGGTGATGGAGGCTGTGCTGCCCCGCGGGGGGTGGTGGGGGCTGCGCTGCCCCACAGGGGACGATGGAGACTGCGCTTCCCTGTGGGGGCTGATGGAGGCCGCGCTGCCCTGCGGGGGGTGATGGAGGCCGCGCTGCCCCGCGGGGACGATGGAGGCCGCGCTGCTCCATGGGGACGATGCAGGCCGTGTGTCCCGCAGCCCCTGCCAGCGGCCGCCCCTCCGCTCGCAGCGCGGCCAGTTCAGCGACGGCCCCTGCCCGCAGCCAGCTGGGCTTGTGAATGACCCCAGGTAGGAAACACCGCCCAGCARAGCAGGCTGGGCGAACCTGCTGTTCGGACCCGTCTTCTGCGCGTGCAGTTTGCTCGCGATCCGTATTCCTTCCGCCCGGGCGCGGGGTGAGAAGCGACACTGCAAGGAAGGGTGCTCGTGCATTTTAAAATGCCCTCTATTGTCTTGTCCTACAGAAATAATAATGTGGCGTGTATGCAGGAAAGCAAGCGCGAAAACAAGTGCATAATCGTGTTTGTGCATGTTTTTGTTTGTTTTACAGTTTTAGCCCTTGCTTCTATAAACTCGTTGGAGGATTGAAGTTTAATATTCATTCTTGTTTATATAGGTATATGATACTTCTGATGGAACCCTAATTCAGCCTTTGAAAGGACATAAGGACACTGTTTACTGTGTGGCTTATGCTAAAGATGGTAAATATCATTTTGGGAGTCTTTGTTATTCCAGTCTGTAAAGCACACAATGTTTTCCCTTTGCTATTGAAAACTGATAAATGTCGTAATCCAGATGTTTTTAGTGATTGCATTTTGAACATCTGTGGTGTGTCCGTGTTGGGTTTGAAGTGCATTGTGGCAGTGCATGCAGAAGGCAGTGCTGCGTTTCCGTGCCCGTGGTTTAAGGCTATGTTTTGGGTTAATGCAGCAGCCGCAGCGCTCCGGGGCTGCAGCGAGGTTTGCGCTGCAGGGCTCAGCCCGGACTGCTCGGAGGGAGAAAGAAAATAAGGAGTTCTGTGTAAATGGGGAAGCGCAGCCGCGCAAAGACACTTGCAGTGTTAGGCCCTTTATCGCTTGAGCCTTGTGAAGTTCAAGAACTTTTTGCTCTCTCTCTGGTTGAGTACTTGAAATGAAAGTGATTCTGAAATTTGTGAGACTTAAATTATATTTAATTCCTAGGCAAGCGGTTTGCATCTGGCTCAGCAGATAAAAGTGTGATAATTTGGACTTCAAAGTTAGAAGGAATTCTGAAATACACGTAAGTGATCCCTCTAGTGATCCCCTTAACTCTGTGCCTCTCAAATGCAGGCTTTGGTTATGAATTTCTGGACTCAAAGAATAAGTGATTTTAGAAAAGGAAGAAGGTTAACTGGGGTCAGAGAAAAGGCTAGCAGGAACAGGGAGGGGAAGGAGGAGAGGAACAAAGTATCTCCAAAGTAGGAAAAGTAATTAAAGGCTTGAAAGAGGGTGCAAAGCCTAGATAAAGGTCTAATGAATTTAGAGGGCTGGCAGAGAGCTGGGAGATATCTGTATAGGTTGAGAGGGGATGAAACAGAATGATTCTGATCTTGTGTAGTAAACGAAATTAATATAATTCTAGTTCAAAGACCAAACTAAAGATAAGGATAGGGGCTTTCCTTTTGGCTTTATTTTATTTGTCATCTCTCAAGCTATGTCTTCAAGTCTGTTTCTGCCTGTGTGCGTATAATTATTGTTGAAGTTGTTATATACAATTGTACTTTGGAATTTGGCCATGACCTTTAATCACATTTCACAAACCACTGTCTACCTACATTTTTAGCTCATCTTGATGAAACATACCAAATTCTCCATTTAACGATGGTTGTTTTTAAAATTTTGTTATTGATCTAGTTTACAGTAATTGCAGATTAATTTGATGTAATATAAGCTCATCTAATTATTTCCGGCATCTGGCAAGCCTTTCGGCTATCTTGCTGAAAGTTAGAAAATGAGATATTTAAGAATGATTTATTGAAATGTGATTGTAACTTTATTTTAGGCATAATGACTCTATACAGTGCGTTTCATACAATCCTCTTACTCATCAGTTGGCGTCCTGCTCTTCCAGTGATTTTGGTATGTCTTCTTCTTACTTTTCCATTAAACCAGTAAATTCTATTAAACAGAAGAGTGAAGCTAACCATGGATAAATACAGTTCTTATTGTGAAGAGATGAGGTTTGAAGATACTGTTACCTGACAAAGGAGCATTGGATGTGTTTTTAACTCACTCAAACACAGTTGCAAAGGGCTGTGTAGTAATATACCATAGATACTGTGACTTTTCCAGAGATGCTTGTTCTATTATATTTAGATGGATTTTATTTCCATTTATTGATGAATACTGTCTATTTAAATAATCCTTCTGGAAGTGACTGAGATATTGATCCCTCTGAAATCCAAAATGAGTTTTCTGTCAATATATGTTTCTAATCTCAGCGCTGATCTGTGCTTGCTTGTAGTTTACTGTGTTTTTTATTTGTTTTGATGAAGGTTTGTGGTCTCCTGAACAGAAGTCAGTCTCCAAACATAAAACTAACAGTAAGATTACCTGCTGTAGGTAAGTTTTAACGATTGCCTGTGTTAGGCTAGTTTCATTGCAAACCTTAATAYGCACGCTTAGAGAAACAAGTTCAAATAAAGTAAACACATACAGAGACAGTAAGCAGGAGGGTGAAGTGGGGCTCTCATAACTTGCTCTTCAGTAGCATTACGTACTTACTGCTGCCTTGCCATTCTCATCTTTATAGTGTTTGAATAGCAATCATACTGTAGTAGCAATCTGACTATTATTTATCAAAAAATATGTTCTTTCTTGTATTGTGCCTTTTGCCTTTCATCTTGGTGGTTTTTGCGGGAGAAGCAGATATTATGGGGAACCTAAGGCAAGGGTACAATGATTTGTGTGAAGTCTCCCTGCTAACTACGGTAGAGACAAGAACAGAAAGGGGGTCCTCTGGTCCTCTGTCCCAGCCTGATGTGTTTTGCTGATCACTGTTTTAAATGTGTTTTTTAAAGCAGTTTGGTCTACTGCCAGCACTGTCATCAAAAAATGTGTGAGCGCACGATACAAGTATCGCAAGCAGATGATAGCTTAGCGTTATTCCTGGTTTTTTTTGTTTGTGTGCATATAATAAAGTGTTCTTGCTATAATGCATGCTGTTGCCATAAATGTGGATTTGGATTCAAAAACAAACTAGAATTACTGGCTATCTCCCAGAACTCCCTCTTAAAACTCTATTTCAGTCTCTTATCCCTGTTTGGGTAGGCTGTACCATCCTACAGTCCTGCTGCTTGTTTTTAGAAGTTTGCTTTTCAACACATGTGTGTTTTATCAGCTGGACAAATGATGGCCAATACCTTGCTTTGGGGATGTTCAACGGCATTGTCAGCATAAGAAATAAAAATGGTGAAGAGAAAGTGAAAATAGAGCGTACAGGGGGTGCTGCTTCTCCAATATGGTCAATTTGTTGGAATCCATCCAGGTAAATAATTTCATTCTTCCCTTTCATCCTTTCACGCTCAACAAATAATCCTTGGTTTATTGATTGTAGAAAGGCTTGACTTTTATCCCCGCTGAAACAAATTATTGGCAACTACATTTTATTTGTGTAGTGTCTATATGTTGGGGGCTGACTTTGCTGATAGTCTTTAATTAATGTAAAAACTGGGAATAAATTTTAGTTGGGTTTCAAGAAACACTC